GCTGCAGCGGGGTGCACTCGGGGTGCCGCGAGGGCAGCGCGGCCCTTTCCCTGCAGCCCTGGCAGCGCTGCCCCCGCTCCGCGCCCGCTCTGCGCCTCCATGCGCTAAATATAACCGAGTCCTGGTGCGTGGGCACCGCCGGCGGCTCTGCGTCGAGCCGCCCTTCCCGCGCGGGGCCGCCCGCCGCCGCCACAGGCCCCTCCGCTGGGGGCACCCTCTGCCCGCGCCTGCCCTGTGGACCCCCAAAAACCCCTGTCCCCGAGGGGCCCAGCTCCCACATTTAGTGCCCGGCTCCCACGTTTGGTGCCCCGGGCTGTGAGACGGGAGCCCTGGTGCGCCCTGAGCACCGTGTCCCCCCTCCCCAGGTAACGCAGAGCGCCCCCCGGCCACAGGTCCCCCCCAGGGCAGGCCCCGGCAGCTGCGAGTGCCCCGGGCGGGCCGAGCGTGCGGGGCTCCTGCCGGAGCTGCTCCACTTTGGACAAATATTCCCGGGGCAGAGGGAGGGAGCCGGCACGGCACGGGGGGGCTCTGCCTGACCCACTTTCGGGGGCCCTGCTCCCGCCCACTGCCTCCCCAGGGCTTCTCCTGCAGCTGCTCTGGCGCTGGCGCCTCCATCCATCCCTGCTGCTGCCTCGTCTTCTGCACAGGCTCCTCTTGGGAGAGGAAAAGCTGCCGTTTCCCGCTGGTGAGCGCGGTCCAGAGACGTGTGGTTCAGCCACAGGAGTGTCCAGCGTCTCTTCAGAGCAGAGCCCCTTGCCCAGATCTCTGCCCCTGTGGGACCGGGCCCATTCACTCCCTGCAGCGCCAGCCGGGATTGGGCAGGGGGTCGGGCTGCAGAGGGGCAGGAGCTCTGAGCTGCTCGCCCCAGGCTGCACCGCGTGCCCCCATCCGCACCCAGTGCCGCTCCGGGCGCACTCCGGATCGCCACGTCCCTGGTGCCGGCGGGAAGGGCAGCGGTGCCGCCAGGACGGGCATCGCGGGGCTGCCCGGGCAAGCAAGGGGCACAAGGAACAATGTGGGTCTCAGCCGTACGAGGAGGGAAGAGGTGGCAGCGCTGAAGGCCACAGCGGTGCCGCGGGCTGTTGAACCACCCCGCGGTTCCTGCAGCAAATGCCCGGCGCCAGGCTGCCCAGCGCGGGGCAGCCAGAGCGTGGTGGGAGCCGCGGCCCAGGCCCAAGTCACACCCGCAGGGACGTGGCCGGCAGTCACCCTCCTTGCGAGGGGGCCTTTGGGGGCTCTCATTTTGGGGAGAGCTTGCCCTGGTTTCCCACGCGCTGCAGCCTGGGGTACCCGTGCTGGGGTCCAGGCCAGGGCCCAAGGCCCGGCCAGTTGTGGGCACGTTCAGGGCTCAAGGGGGCCCGTCCCGCTCCGCACTGCTGCCGCGAGTCCCCGGGCAGCCGAGCGGTATTTGCTCGCTTATCTCTAGGTGGGGAAAGGCAAGCAGAGGCATGCGAGGTGCCGGCACGGGCTGGCACCGCGCAGGGGCTACGTGAGCCCGGGTGCCACCGTCAGCTCCGTCCCCTCCTTGTGTCGCAGCTGGGAGTGAAGGACGAGAGCAGTGCCTTGGTATCCAGGGCCCCTGGGCACGGAGCGCTGTCCCGATGGTGGCCCGAGGCCACCAGGAGCAGGCTGCGAGCCGGCGCCACGGAGCCCGCAGCGCCCCGGGCTCCCGGGCAGCGCGCACGCAGGGCAGCGGGGCTGGCAGGGCGCAAGCGCCGGCGCTCCCGGCCAGGAAGCTCCAGCGGGGTGTTCGGCAGGGCCGCCCACGGGAGCACGGCGCTGGAGGCACCCGGCGCGGCACGGACTCAGCCAGCTGTGGCTGCAGCACGGATGTGGTTTATATTTGTGATTTGGATGTGATTTCTCTAAATCACAGATGTGATTTATATTTGCAGTCTGCACGGCAGAGCTGGGGTGCCCGGGCTGGCGGGGGCAGGTGGGAGCCCTGCTCCCCCAACGCACCACCACGGCTGTGCCCCCGAGTGAGGGGCATTTCCCGGGCGCCACCGTCACCCGCAGGCTCTGTCCATCCTGCCGCGCACCCGCCATGGGTCTGGGGAGCCCCAGAGAGACGCCCGCGCGCCGGGTACTGCCAATACTGTCACCGTGGGCCCCGCGGGCAGCCCAAGTCCTCCCTGCTCCTGCGCCGCCTCACCTCGCTCCGGGCTCCCTGACAGCGCAGAGGCTCCCCAGGCTTCGCAGCTCGGATCCCACAGCAGTCATTCCCGTGCAGCGGCCCGGTCCCACGGCCCCGGCTACTTGTCGAGGATGAGGAAGAGCAGCACGAGCAGGACGATGGGGAGGAAGATGAGGAGCAGGCTGAGCATCTCGGCGCCCAGCAGCACGGCGAGCAGGAGCAGGTAGCAGCAGCGGCAGCGGCGCTCGAGGCGGCCCAGCGCGCGGATGAGGCACAGCGGATAGCGCACGCAGGGCAGGCAGCCGAACATGCGGCTCGTGTGGAAGCGCACCTGGAAGTGGTGCTCCAGGGCGCCCG